GAGCTCTAGACCTGGTGTCGCGGCGCGATGCGGCTGCGCCGGCTGTGGGGGTCGCCACGAGGAGGCTGCCCGGTGAGGACCGCCTGGCGGGTCCGGTAGCCGGACCGAGGACCCAAAATGGAGGGTCTAGGATCCCGGACTTTTTTCGGACCTAAAACCCAAACCTAGGCACATCCAGAACTTGGAGCTTGAGTTTGGATTGAGAGATCCCAGACCTGGAACGTGAACCCCAAACCTAGGACTGAGAGACCCCAGATCCAGCTTCATTGAGATGTCTGTCCAAGAGGTCCCAGGTGTCCTGAGTTCTGGCGTTTCTCCCCGTCTCCCCACTCTCCTCCAAGTGAGGAGGCTTCAGGCATCCCCAGACTCTCCATCTCAGAAGGACCAGGGAGCACACAGATCCCTGAGAGATGCAGGGCCCTGAACCTTGATTCCCTTTCCAAACCCCCAACCCAGACCTCGGTCACACCTGGCACCGTGAACCCTTACATTTCAGCCCCAGAATTAGTCAGGAGTTGCCAGTACCTGACCCTGCCTGTATCCAATTACTCTCAGATCTTGAGACCATATGACCCAGAATCGCCCCTACATGGTCCCTGAATGTTCACCTAAGACCTGGTGCACCCACGTCTGAGGTGTTCTTGTAGCCCCAGGACCCCTGAGACACCAAACTCTCCTAGATATGAGACTCTTATATGTTCTGGAATCACCAGATGCTGGCCCCAAGTCTACCCACTGCTGAGTGCCCACGGACCCCACAGACCTGGCCTCTAATCCAGGAACACCAAGATCCAAGATGTCCAGATAACCCCAGACGTTGTAGGACCCCAGACTCTTAAGATGCACTGAGACCTTGGATATGCTCAAACGTGAGATGATCTCTTACCAAAATGACTTAGAAGAACCATCTCAGAACCCCCCAAGATGCAGATATCAGATACCAAGATGCTCTGTGAGCCAGAGATCAAAGACCTCCGTAGACACCCCCCCCCCAAGCTAGTATTCTCAACAGCTTTGGATTTCATATATAGGACCCTGAGGTGCATGGTGTCTGCAGATGTATGACTAAAGGCCATTAACACCTCAGGGCCCAAGATACTGGTCTCAAGTATTGAAATAGCTCTCTTCCAGTCCCCCTTGGATATGGATTTTGAGATCCAAAATGTCGTGGAATCTGTGGCTTCCTTCTATCTACAAATCCGCAATCCCCTGCAGGCTGGGAGTCCAGCTCTCAGAAGATAGGATAGTCATGGCAACTCAGACCTCTGATCACTTGGTCCCCAGCCCCTGAGTAACCCCTGAGGTGCTTTAGGAGCACTGGATCCAAGACCCCAAGGTGCCCTTGACCCCCAGATGCAGGGCTCAACCCCCCACAACATTGGGATTGTTCCTGATCCAAGATCTTGGTTCTTCCATACCGGAGACATTCAGATCTGAGGTGTCCCAGGACCCAAGCACCCTCAGGCCCAGAGTTCTGTGGACTCAAACCTCTCTAGCCTGATAAGTCCCGGAGATGCCTCTAACCTGATTCCCTCTTGTGCATCCTCTAAGACCTGCTGCCCCTTGAATCTGCTGTCCATAGGTCCCTGAAACCCCAAGGTCCCAGATGCTGGAATTCTGGCCCCCAGCAATCCTCAGAAGTACCCCTTTATCCTAGGGGGCAAACCCACCATTTTGAACTCAGATTCCTGGATTCGAGGACCACCCAAGAGCTCCCTCATTCCCACCTCAGGGACCCAGCATTTCCACAGACGATTTATGCAGGCTGTTCACTGAGCAAAGGCACACAGCCCAGGCAATGAGTAGGACTGGACCTCACACCAGTCTGCTGGTGAAGCTGGGCCTTCAGAGGAAGGGTACATAAAGGCACTTTTTGGGCTAACTATGGCTCTGCTGGGTATGCCCTCCCAGAATCCCAAGCCTTGCAGAACCTCACCCAAGCCCATCCTTGAGCTCTAGACCTGGTCCAAGTCCACCTTTTATGTTCTGTCACTTCATTAATAATCCCTTCTCTTCCATCTCAGATTGGGAGTTGCTTCAGAAAGTTTGGAAGCCTGTTTCATGGCCCTCTGAGACTCCTCTTCTGGGGAAGGGGGATGCCACGGTCTCTTTTACCCAAGTAGAATGGGACTTGCAGTGTACCTAAGATCCAGTGTCTTGTATGGGGTGTGTGTGTGTGTGTGCAAAGGTCTTGGAGCAGGACAGTCTCAATGTTGTATGGGCTTGGGACCTGCATCTGGCCCCAAGCATCTGGAAATGTGCACTTGCCTTTCTTCATTACCCAGACTTGGATGGCCTTGTGGGAGCTCAAAGGATAGGTCCTTTTGTCACTTCCTTTAAATTATTAACTATTTATTACATCCGGAACCTGTGAGATTCAGCTCTCCCAACCAGACCCTGGGATGGGTGAGAGAAAAGAGGGAGGGGTGTCCCTCCCATCCCCACTCTGCCCAGCTCTCATCACTGTCAGACCCACCAGAGCTGAGGGCGGAGGGGCTGGGGGCTGGGGCAGCCTGGGTCCCCATCCCTCTCTCTGTGCCTCGGTCTCCCCCCTTCCGTGATGGGTGGGGGGGAAGCTCCATTCTTAACCTACCTCGTTTTAGGGAGGGGTGGGACGGGGACCAGAGTGCTGTACGGTGCTGTGGGATCTGTGGATGAAGTGGTGGGGGCTGGGGGAAGGTTCCCTGGCCCCCATCTCCCAGCACCACCTCTCCCAGGTCTCCCAGTCTTGCTCCCTGCTGATACCCACCTCTGATCCATGATTACCCTTCATGGCCCCCATACCAGGGGTGCATGGAGGGCTGACCCTGGGAGCCAGGAAGACCTCAGACCCTGGAGCCCCCAGGCTGAATTTCCCAGCTGCTTGCCCCTCGGATTGGATGCTTGGCCCCCAGACTTGGGGGAGGCACCCCAATATTTATCTTAATGATCTTGATTCCAAGCCAGTCTGTGACCTCAATATTGTTAGCATCAGTGCAGGCTGAAGTGGTGGGGGAGGATGGGGGCCAAAGACCCAGCCTTGTCATTGGGGGAGGGGGGCATGAGATCTGCTCCAAGAAATGTCTGTGACAAAGTCTCAGTCTGTGTTATTTATTTTCATTGGTGCGCCCCATCCACTCATCTTCCTGAACTGCAAAACCAGTCTCCTACCTAAATTCTCCTTTTTCCTGCCCATCCTTTAGTTCCAAGCAGAACCTTCAGCTAAGTTTTATACATTCAGTCACAACAAGTACATTTGTTGAACACCCATGATGTGCCAAGCTCCTTTGAATGCACTGGGGATAAAGCTGTGAACAGAACAGACAAAAATCCCTTCCCTGGGCTGGCTGGTTAGCTCAGTTGGTTAGAGTGCAGCCTCATAACACCAAGGTCAAGGATTCGGATCCCCATACTGGCCAGCCACCAGAAAAAAAAGAAAAAAAGAAAAGAAAAATCTCTTCCTACCAAGAGCTTATAAACTTTGTAGTGGTGGAGACAAGTGAGTGACTTAATATGTTAAGAATGATATACACTATAAAGAAAAATAAAGTGGGGGTGGGGGATACAGGCAATTTTAGTGAGTGGTCAAGTTAGGCCTCATTCAGGAGTTAGCATTTGAATAAATCCCTGAAGTTGGTGAGGGAGTCCTGCGGATGTCTGCACGGAAGAACACTCCAAGTAGAGGGAACAGCCAGTGCAAGGTCATGAGGCAGGAATGCCTGGTAAGTCTGTGGAACATCAAGTGACATAGAGTGTCTAGAGGGCAGGAAGCAAGGAGGAGATTACTAGGAGATGAGGGCAGAGAGGTGACAGGGCAGATCTGTGGGGTCTTGCATGCCATTGTATGGGCTTTGGATTTTACCCTGAGTGAGATGGAGCCACAGGAAGACTCCAAGCATGGGAGGGATGTGACCTGATGCAGGTGTTTACAGACTCCCTCTGGAACATGTGGGCAACAGACACACTGGGATGTGGGGGGTGCCAGCAGGCTGACAGTGAGGAAGCTGCTGTGATGGTCTGGGAGAGAAAATGGGGAACAAGACCAAGGCAAGGGCAATGGAGCAGGGGAGAAGTGGGCGGATATTGGACCTATTTCGAAGGTAGAGTCCACAGATTTATATATGAGGTTCCATATAAAGAAAGGAGCCAAGGTTCTAAGTCCAGGTTTTTGGCCTGAGCAATTGTTAATATTTTGTTTAGGTCAAGAAATGGTCCCTTGAGTGCCCTGCCTTGGGATAGGCAGGGCTGTGGGGGATCAGATGAAGGGCAGACTCTGCCCCTAAGGAACAAGTTCTGGCCCTTGTTTTTCCCTGAGCCTCTCAGCTCACCTCCACTCCCAGTGGAATTACCTAGGAACTACTGGAGACCAGGATAGAGTCAGAAAGAGATTAAATCTGGAACGGTTGATTCTTTTTTTTTTTTTTAAAAGATGACCGGTAAGGGGATCTTAACCCTTGACTTGGTGTTGTCAGCACCACGCTCAGCCAGTGAGCAAACCGGCCATCCCTATATGGGATCCGAACCCGCGGCCTTGGTGTTATCAGCACCGCACTCTACCGAGTGAGCCACGGGCCGGCCCTGGAACGGTGATTCTTTTTTTTTTTTTTAAAGAAGCCCCGGTAAGGGGATCTTAACCCTTGACTTGGTGTTGTCAGCACCACGCTCAGCCAGTGAGCAAACCGGCCATCCCTATATGGGATCCGAACCCGCGGCCTTGGTGTTATCAGCACCGCACTCTACCGAGTGAGCCACGGGCCGGCCCTGGAACGGTGATTCTTTTTTTTTTTTTTAAAGAAGCCCCGGTAAGGGGATCTTAACCCTTGACTTGGTGTTGTCAGCACCACGCTCAGCCAGTGAGCAAACCGGCCATCCCTATATGGGATCCGAACCCGCGGCCTTGGTGTTATCAGCACCGCACTCTACCGAGTGAGCCACGGGCCGGCCCTGGAACGGTGATTCTTAACAGCAACAAAAACAGCAGTAATAACAATAGAAATAGGTTCAGTGGTTAAAAAGCACGAAATTTGGAATTAGATCTTTTGAGTCCTGACACCACCATGAAATCACTGACTTATCCTCTCTGAGCTTGTTTTCTCCTCTGTAAAATGGGGATAAGATACTTAGCCTAGTAGCACACACTAAATACTCAATACATGTTAGTTTTTATTCATAACCGAGTACCCCAATATGTCTGTTAAGCACTTTTTACATTCAAAACTCTAATCCTCACAAACAACTGTAGGACGTAGGTACTATTACCCCAGTTTTATACAGATGGGAAGCAACTTGGCAGGAACATAAAGCTGGTGAGTGGTGGAATCAAATCCTGACCCTCATCTGCCTAACACTGCTGGGGTGTAGTCTCCTAATCACGATGGTTTATTGCACCCGCTCCTTTCCTCCAAGGCCTAGAGAGGAAGAGGGGTGAAGGCCTAAGGGGCACATTGTGATCGATGAGAAAGAGGGGTGGGTGTGAGGGGTGAGCCGGGATTCCTGAGTCCCTGACATAATTCCAACGTTACGGCGGAAAGGGGGAAGCAAGTTCCTGGACTTGGGGCGGAGTTGGGTGAACGCTTGGTTTGGGGTGCTTTACGAGCAGAAGGCAACTGAGGGAGGCTGTGGAAAAGGAAACCGAAGTTGCTTTTATGTTGCCACAGTAGAGACACTTGGTAGCCACTCACGACAGCTGGGGTCCTGAACGCACTCTGAAATTTACAGAGCCACGGAGCGTTTCCAGAACTCGGACGGTTTACGCTAAGGTGGTGGTGGCGGACCTGTGGGCGGGCTCTGCCTTCTCCTACACCAATTGGAACGCCGAAACCCCTCTGGGAGACGAGGCTGATTGGTCAGCGCCGCCACACGCGAGTGCGCACGGCGCTCCTGGGGCGGAGCATGCGCAGCAGAGGCGACGCGCTCATGGAGGGGGCTGAGGCGGAAGCGCGAGAGTGGGACGATGTGGCCCGGGACCTGCTGGCTCTGGGGTAAGGGGGTGTGCGGTGTGACTGGGAGTGCAAGAAGGGAGGGTTTGCTCTCAGGACGCAGACGGTGAGGGATTCTCACTGGCCTTCCCACCCCCTGGCGCTGCCTCGGTCCCGCCGCAGGTATGGGGGTTTCCCGGGGGCGGCGTCGCGGAGCACCTCGTGCCCAGACTTCAGGGCGCTGTGCGCGCGGCTGGCGGCAGAGCTGGCGACTCTGGGAGACCTGGAGCAGCAGCGAGAGGAGGGCGCCGAGGTGCTGAGCGCCGGCGACGGTACGTCTGGAACTGGAGGGTCGGAGGGGTGGAGCCGCGGGTTCCGCCGCCGGCGCCGCGTCCTGACATCTCCCGTTTCCTGCAGGCCCCAGTGCGGAGGAGGAATTCCTGCGACAAGTGGCCAACCTGCTGCGGGAGTGGCACTGCCCGGATCGTGCGCTCTGCGGCGGAGACTGCGTGACCGCGCTGCGGAAGCCTGGCACGGGCTTGCGCCTGCTGCGTGAGCCGGGGGAGGGCCCGGGATGCGGAAGTGGGCGAGGCCACTGCCTTTAGAGTCGGCGCGCTCGGAATATTGAAGGACAGCAAGGGTCCCCAGGGGGCGTGGTCAGACTCTTGAGGCGGGCCAGAGGGTCCAAGGTGGGTGGAGTCAGAATTGAGGCGGGCGTAGGGCTCTAAAGTGGGCGTGGTTAGAACTTTGACAGGACGGATTGAAAGTTCATTGGGTTAGATGCCACCGCGCAAGTGGTTCTGAAGTGGGAGGGAGTCGAATTTTGGAGTAAGGGACAGGGTCTTGATGTGGGTGGAACTTATTCTAGAGGCGGAGCCAGAGTTCTAGGTGGACGGGACTAGACAGTGGGAAGTTTTTAAGTCTCTGGAGCTTTTTGACTCCTATGGATGGGAGAGCAGACCTCTTCGGTTGCACCACTCGCTTTCCTACTTCTAGGCTTTCTCTGCTCGGAGCTCCAGGCTGCTCGCCTCCTGCATCTGCACCCCTCGCTGGATCCCAGCCCTGTGCTACCCTTTAGGGAGGGGGCAGAGCAGGAAGCCGGCATGGTCCAGGAACTAGTCCTTACCCTCCAAGCCGTGGGGCTGCCCAGCCCCACGCGGGGGATCCCCGCCAGCCGTCTACTGTGGGAGTTGCATACCAAGGTATGGAGCAGAGGGGTTACTCCCCACCGGGGCCAGCCCACCTTCATTGGGGGGAGGGTCCCCTATCCAAAAACAGCTCTGGCAGAAGTACCCCAACCACAGGGATGTTTTTCTAGAACTATGATTTTATTTTTCTTTGACCTGGGTCTCCAGGGCCGTGGGAAACTGGGGTCCACAGAGGGGTCCATCCTGTTTCTGCCCCGGTTGGCCTCTTACTTCTTCTCCCATCAGATCTCAGAGCTGCTGCCTTCCCTGCCCCCAGGGTTCATGCAGCCCCTCCTCACCTACCCGCTGGATGCACCTAGATGGGTAAGGATGTGTGTAGCTGTATGTGAACAGTGTTCTCATCCAGAGGTGGGAGTGAGAAGGACCCCTGGTGTCACTGAGACCTTTTCTCCCAGGAAGCGTTGGAGTCTTTGTCCCAAAGCCTGAGAGATCAGTACTGCTGCCGCCGCTGCCTCCTTCTCAAGCGCCTCGACCTCACAACATCTGCTTTCCACTGGAGTGATCGGGCAGAGGTGTGGGTAGAGTGTGGGCAAAGGACCTTGGTGGGAGCAGGGAGGCCCAGTTGTGAGGGCTACAGCTGCAAGGCAGAATAATGAGGATCGGAAATATTATCCTCTTGGAAGTTCTGAGACCCAGGCCATTTTGGAATCTCGTGTGAGGTTTGGAGCTTCTAGAATCTCAGGGCCCCAGGGCATTCTAGAATTCCAAGCTCTGAGGTGGGAGTGTCTTCAGAGCTAAACCCTTATTTAAAGATGTAGGCAGTGGGGCCCTGAGTGAGGAAGAGGTGTTTCCAAGATCACAGATCCCCACCTGGGGAGGGTTCTTGGGTACTTTCTCCATGCTTTCCCTCCCCCGCCCCACCCCAGGCCCAAGGAGAGGCCATGAAGGCAGTGCTGATCCCAGTCCGAGAGGTTCTGACCCCAGAATCAGACGTCTCCATTGCACATGTCCTGGCTGCCCGAGCTGACCTGTCTTGTCTGATCCCAGCTACCAGCAAGGCTGCCCGCCGAGGGACCCATTGTGCTATCAACAAGGTGGGCACTTGGGGTAGGGAAGGGCCCTGGCACCCTTGGCCTTCAAATTGGCCTTTCAGTCTTTGCCTTGGTCCAAGCTTGTCCTTTCCCTCCAGTGTTCTCTCTGGGCTTCTGGCCTCTGGGCTCACCACCTCTAATCTACTCTCTTCACATAGCAGCTAGAATGTTTTTAACACAAAAATCTTTTATTTTTTTGGCAGCTGGCCAGTATGGGAATCCAAACCCTTGACCTTGGTGTTATTCTCACACAAAAATCTTTTTTTTTTTTTCCTTTTTGTCTTTTTTCGTGTCCGGCAACGGACCGCAACCCTCAGTGTCGCGCCCGTACCGGACCGAGACCGGCAACGGGATCGCAACCCTCGGTGCTGCGCCCGCCCCTCGCTCAGCCAGTGAGCGGGAACCGGTCTGTATGTGGGATCTGACCCCTCGGCGGGAGCGCCGCCACACTCCCAAGTGGCGCACTGCCACACAAAAATCTTATCATGTACTTGGCTAGCTCAGAATCCTTCCATGGCTCTCCAGTGTTTTGAAAACAAAGTTCAACTATTTACTTGAGCACCTGCCCCCACCTTACCAGATTGGGCTTAAAACCCTTGCTCACCACTTCACCCTATCTATTGTATTGAATTTTAACAGCTTTTTAAAACAGAAATACCTTCTGTTTAAACGATTATCTGGCCTCATTCCTCTGTAAGTAGTCTTATACTTAGGTGAATGAATATTAGAGAATAAAGTCTAGCACAACAAAGAGTAAGGCAAATTTAAGTTAAGAAAAAAAGTGATTTGCTTTAAGGAAATACAGAAATATCACAGGTGATGCCCAAATGCTGGATATCTAGAAGAAAACAGGAAATGTTATATAAAGCCCCATATATGAAATAGACAAAGTTGAGGTGCTCTCATTAATACTAGGTGGGGACTTGGGCCTCTGCCTTCATCTTCCCCTTTGTTTCCCTCTTGCTGAGCCCCTTGGAACCCAGTTTGAATGCTCCATGCTTGTATCTTCTACCAATCCAGTCCCCCCTCCTCCAGCCACTGTACCCAAATAGTCAGCATCTGCCCTTCCTTTTTCAGCCTCCTGGTCTTTGCTCTCTGGCCCCCTTGTCCAAGATATTTTTTTTCTCAGAATCTCAAATCTAATCAACTCTCAGGTGCTTATGGGCAATGTGCCAGACCGGGGGGGGCGCCCAAATGAGCTGGAGGCTCCCATGCCCAGCTGGCGGAGCCGAAGAGAAGATGGAGGTGGGCGGAAAGCAGGCCGCCAGTGCTGGGGCCACAAGAAGAAGAAGAAGAAGTAAAGGTGGACTGGTGGTCAGGGGGTTCTTTATGAGATGCTGATGCCATTGGTAATCTTTGGTGAGTCAGGTTGAGGGTTTCCTTTGGCACCTGGCACATAAGCCCCCCCATCCCCTGTTTCTGAGGCCCCAAATGTCCTACCCCCATTCACCACTCAACACCAAGAACCATGTTCTCTGGAAAATAAATTTATTTATTTATTGGTGGCTGGCTGGTACAGAGAGGAAAATAAATTTAATTTATAGCAGCTGTAGGACCTATCTCTGTGAGGGCCAGGTCAGGGGTGCTTCGGTTTGTGGAGGGATAAGGGATGTCTGCTCCCTGGATCTGAACAGGCCCCTGCTGCTCTGACCCACAGAATCCTTTGCTCTTCAGCAACACATCTTCTATGGTCATGGGGAGGGATATAGTCAGGCACTGGACAAAGATTTATCAGGTGCCCATCATGTGCCAGCCCTGTTCTAGGCACTGGGGACACAGCAGTGAAAGACAGATAAAAATCCCTGCTTTCCTGGAGGTGACATTTATGGTGAGGAATGGCAGATACTAAACGAGATAAATAGGTAAAATGTATAGTTTGTCACATGGGGAAAGTTCTATGGAGAAAAATAAAGCAGGAAGGCAGGATTGAATTGTCGGGGGGATAGTGTCTTTGAATATGATTAGGGGAGGCCTCACTGAGAAGGTGTCACTTGATCGAAGTCCCATGGTCGGGGGCATGTAGGCCTCTGGGGAAGAATGCTCTGGATAGAAGGAACAGCCACTGCAAAAGCCTTGAGGTAGGAATATTTTTGGTATGTTCAGGGAACATCGAGGCCAATGTAACTGAAACAGGATGAGCGAGGGGGCAAGGGGTGGGAGGTGAGGTCAGAGAGGTGATGGGTGCAGACTGTGTGGGGTTTGGTGGGCCACAGTGAGGACTCTGGCTTTCACTCTGAGTGAAAGGAGCTGTGGGAAGGCTCTGAGCAGAGGAGGGATGTGACCTGACTCAGGTGTTCATGGGCTTCCTGTTCCACTCCCTTCCCAGCTTTCTCTCCTGTCTCTGGAACTCCAGAGTTTGGAACTCTACCCACTCTCTCCTCCTCCCCTCCTGACCCATTCAGGCTGTCAGTGCAGCATATTGGTAAGGAGCTTCAGTTTTAGAGACTCAGAAGAACTGGGTTTGAGTCCTGCCTTCAGCCCTTGGGAGCTCTGCCACCTTGGGCCAGCAGCTTAACCTCATTGAGCCTCATTCTCATTATCTGTGAAATGAAGATTTAGGGGGTTGGTGAGATGATGCCTAAGTCTAAATGTATCCAACATGGAGCTGCACAAATACAGGAAAAGGAAATATGGTTAATAGCCACTGTGATGCAAAAGAAGAAAATAACTTTCTCTCAGGGTAAGGGAGAAGGGAGTGAGGGAGAGAGACCAAACGATGTCTAGGAATTCAGCTTGGAGGACAGGGTGGATGGTGGGGCCATCATCTCTGGGCAGAGAACCTGAAAGGAGGAAGATGTTGGGTGATGCAGGGAGCATAGGGTTTCACTTCCAGGAGCACTGCCTCACCCAGACTGTGGTTAAGTGGGTGAATGAATTTTTCTTTTAAGCCCAACCTGAGTCTTTGCCTTTGAATAGTGGAATTTACTCCACTGACACTTATTGTAGCTCCTGATGTATTCGGCCTTATTCTTGTCATCTTCTTGGTTTCTTTTCTCCCTGAATCCTTTTTCTGTTCTACTAATGGTTTCTCCTTTCTTTCCTCCCAACATACTGAAACTTCTATTTTTTTGCCAACATTAAAAATTAACCAGTATCAGTACCCTCTCACCTAAGCAATTGAGGACTTTTGCATATTTTTACTTTTCTGTGCTTCCTCAAGTCTGTCTGGTTTTCCAAGGCAAATGGCCTGTCTCCCCTATGTCCAATTGGGGGTAGAGAATAATTCCTCCTCACCATCTCTGGTTCCCAGGAAGGGTGTGGGGACTCCGTCTGGGTCCAAGCATGGCGGAGGTGGCACCCAGTTTCAGATTCCAGGGATAGTGTGTAGGAGAGATTTTCCTCGGAGTCTGTGGAAGGGATATGGGTATGATGCGAAGGGTTTCATGACTTTGGAATTAATCCCCATCCACTAGGCCCCTTCTAGGACTGCTGCACTCTGGGTCTTACCACTGCTGGCATGGGGAACTGGTGGGGGTGGGATAGGGGCTCCTGGGGGGCCTGCATCGCCCTTGGTCCCTGGCCTCTTACACTCCACCTTCACTTGGTCTCTGCAGTGTTTGTGGCAGCACAGCCCACAGTCTGGGGAAAACGTCAGTGGTTAGTGAGCAGAGGCTCAATTCATACCCCCCCATTCCTCCAGCGTGTAGGCCCTACCACTTACTGATGCCCACTCACCCCGACAGCGGTAGCCTTGTTTGGTGACACCCCAGAGCTGGAAGAGAAAGCAGAGTTGGCTAGGGGAGGGCAGGCTGTGGATTGATCGTGAGGGCAGGTGGTGGGGGAGTGTGGATGGGTGGGGAATGTGGAAAATTTTCAAGGCTTGGAGGCTAAAATGGAATTAAAGGAATGTGGTGATTATCTCAAGTTTGGGGAATCATATAGGATTTTACGATTAGGTAAAATTTGGAGTTAATAAAATGTAAATTCTTAAGGGCTGGCCTGTGGCTCACTTGGGAGAGTGCGGTGCTGATAACACTAAGGCCACGGGTTCGGATCCCTATATAGGGATGGCTGGTTAGCTCACTTGGGAGAGCGTGGTGCTGACAACACCAAGTCAAGGGTTAAGATCCCCTTACCGGTTCACTTGGGAGAGCGTGGTGCTGACAACACCAAGTCAAGGGTTAAGATCCCCTTACCGGTCATCTTTTAAAAAATAAATAAGTAAATAAATAAAATGTACATTCTAAGGGCTGGTCAGTTAGTTCAGTTGGTTAGAGTGTGGGGCTGATAACACCACGGTCCAGGGTTCGATCCCTGTACTGGCCAGCTGTCAAAAAAACTGAACAAAAAACTAAAGGTTTAGAAAATTAAAATGTAAATTCTATGGTTAGGGAGGGATTGTGTCTGTTGTGTTCTTGCTGTATCCCCCACAGGGCCTAGAACTATGGCACAGTGGAGGCACTCAGTAAATATTTAGTGAATGAATAAGTGAATTTGGGAAGTAATCCAGGGTTTGTGAATTAGTCTTTTTTTTTTTTAAAGATGACCGGTAAGGGGATCTTAACCCTTGACTTGGTGTTGTCAGCACCACGCTCTCCCAAGTGAGCTAACCAGCCATCCCTATATAGGGATGGCTGGTTAGCTCACTTGGGAGAGCGTGGTGCTGACAACACCAAGTCAAGGGTTAAGATCCCCTTACCGGTCATCTTTTAAAAAATATTGGTGTTGTCAGCACCACGCTCACCCAGTGAGCAAACCGGCCATCCCTATATGGGATCCAAACCCATGGCCTTGGTGTTATCAGCACCGCACTCTCCCGAGTGAGCCACAGGCCGGCCCCGTGAATTAGTCTTGATTTGGAGATTGAGAGATTTGTCCATTATCCAGAGTTTGAGGATATCTTGAATTTGGAAATTATTCAGGGTTTTAGTGATCTGGAATCTAGAGGTTTGGGGATCAATTCTGTTTGGACATAATCTCCCCAAGTCTGTAGATTATCCAGAGTTTTGGAGATTATGGTTTTAGATATTTTCCATGGTTTGGCAATTGTCCAGGGTGGAAATTATCTGGGATTTGGGGATTATCTGGAATTTTGGCATTATCTAGAATTTTGAGATTATGCAGGATGTAGGGGATATCCAGTGTTTAGGGTTTATATGGAATGTGGGGATTACTTGAGGCTGGAGGATTTTCTGGAATTTGGGGATTATCTGGGGTTTAGGGACTGTCAGCACTCTGGGGCAGGGCTGGCTTTCTGAGCCCTGGCTGCTAGGAGTTGGGGCACTCTGGGGAAATGGGCCCTAGGGGTGATAACAGGGCAGAGTGCTCACGAAGCCGCTGCAGCTGTCACAGAAGGTGGGCTTGCGGAAGGTGACCTCATGGAAGGTGTGCAGGAAGGCCAGGCCCAGTTTGGAGCAGATGGCGCTGGCCCGGAGCAGGTACCCCGTCAGCTCCTCCCTGCTGAAGGACCCGCTCCTGGGGGCAGAGACCAAGCTTCAGCATGACTGACACTACCTCCTTCAGATCCAGGAGTCCTGGTAACCCTGGTATTAAATAATCCCCAAATAGTCTTTGGGGTACCCAGGAGTCGGGGCCACTTACCCCTGGCGGGGGGGTGGGTGGAGTCCATAGCAGGCGAAGGGGAAGTTGTTTGAAAGTCGTTCAAAGTCTTCCTGAGAAATGGTTCCTTGGCCTTCAGGGTCATAATTCTTGAACACAGACTTCAAAGGAGCATGGGAAGGGCAGAATAAGGCCAAGTCATCAAGTTATGAGCCCCATAGTGTTAGATTCCCCTCCCCTAGCTTCAGGCCTATATAAATGTCCCAACAGCCAGGCCGCAGTCCCTTCCTTACCTCCACCAGCTGCTCCACATGCCGACCCAGGGTGACCCTGTCTGGCTTGGGCGTCACACCAGGGGCCCACTCTACTACCAGAGGCACTTTGAAGGGGGAGGGTGGCTGGAATGGGGGCAGAGGAGCACAGTTAGTCAGTGCATAGGCTTGGGCGGGGGGTCAGAAGTCAGGGGTCAGGTCTCACCAGACTCTTGGGACAGCGGGGTTCCCGGGCGTAAGAAAGCTCATAGATCTCGTCCTCTGTGTAGAAGAGGTCCAGAGAAAGCTGGGGGATGGGCATGGGCATTACAGACTCCTCCTTGTGTCCCTCCTCCTACCTACAGCCTCTGAACTTGCCTGCACCCTCACTCTCCATCCTTTTCCCAAAGCTCCTCTTCTCTGGGGACTCTTAATTTCTTCCCACCAAGACCCCATTCACATTCTACACTGCCCATTTTCTCACTGAGGCCTTTTTTGATTTCCCTATTTAAGACTGCAACACCCCGTCTCTTTACATGCCCTTTTCTGCCTTATTTTTCTCTATAGCACTTATCATCTAAAAGTGATGATACTTGGGGCTGGCTGGTTAGCTCAGTTGTTTAGAGCGTGGTGCTGATAATACCAAGGTCCAGGGTTTGATCCCTATACTGGCCAGCCACCTCCCCACACCCCCCCAAAAGTGATGGTACTTGTTTTATTGGCTGTTTCCCCCTTAGAATGTCAGCCCCCCAAAAAGCAATTTTTTTTTCTGACTTGCTCACTGCTGTGTCCGCAGTGCCTGAAATAGTGCCTGACTCACAGCAGGTACTTAATAAACATTTTAGAGTTAGCACAGCATAGGGCCTTAGACACCCATCTTAGGGCAGGGCTGGCTCCACAGGCCAGTGACCCAGGCAGTTGCAGAACCTTTGTTTAGAAGGGCCCCTGCTTTGTTTAATGCGCCGCTGTCACCATCTTGAAATTCTTAATAATTTTGAACAAGGAGTCCCACATTTTCATTTTTTTACTGGGCCCTGCCAGTTATGTAGCTAGCTGGTCCTGTCTCAGGGTCTGAAAGTCAAAACTACATGGCCATTGGAATCCCAGACTCTCCCAATTTAAAAATCTTCCAGTAAAGCATAGCTGGAATCCCATACTCAAAATCTTAGGACACAGTGTAGTTATTAACATACGTTAATATATGGGCTCTGAAGCTGGCCTGCCCGAATTCAAATCCTGGTTTTATTCCTATAGGACAGTGGGCACACCTCACCTCTCTGGGCCTCAGTTTCCCAGTCCATAGAATGGGCACAGTGAGAGTTCCCACATTGTAGGATTGTGAGGTGGAATGAAATGATTTGTGGAGTGTTTAACACAGTGTCTATAACTGTTATTAGTTTTTTGCTTAGATTCCTGGATATGTCCAAGCATGGAATTTTGGACTATTGGCATGAGAAGCTCAGAACCTTGGAGTTCAGCAATGTGAATGCCCAAAGCAACCCCAGAGCTCAGATCAGTGGATACTTGAGTTGCTGGGGGAATCAGGGGAGAAAATGCACCACTTATATAGAGCTCACTGTGTTCCAGATACTGTTTTAAGTACTTTATATGAATTCTGTTATTGTTTGATTCTTCTCAACCACCCTTTGCAGTGGGTTCTACTATTATTTCCATTTTGAAGATAAGAAAACTGAGGCTGAGGCATTAAGTGACTTGCCCAAGATCACACAGCTAGGAAAAAACCTAGAAGTTCCAGCTCAGTGCCTGTGCATTCCAGTACTATTCTATCCTAGTCCTGCAGACCCTCACCCACCTAGGACCATAGTTCCCAATACCCTGGGTCTCAGCCTCTGGGAGCTCAGCCTGGCCGGGGCAGGGCAGCTCACCGTGAGCAGATGCAGCAGGTCTTCATTGGCACTGCAGGGTGGATGCTGCCCTTGGAGGGCTGCCAGCTCCTGCAGCCGCAGGTAGAGGCTGTTCAGTTTGGGTAGGTGCAGGCGGCCGTCAGGCAACCTATCAGGCTGTGCCTCATGCAGGGACACCAAGTCCTTGAGATGCACACCTAGTACAGGCAGCCGGAAGCCCATGCAGCCAGCCCAGGTGCGGCGGTAGCGAGCATAGTTGTTGTGGGAGGCCAGGAGCTCATTCAGCTCTAGCAGGGCCTGTGCGGGAGGAGTATGTTATGAGGGGCATGTTATTGCAAGGGTAATTCAGTACCTGAGCTCCCTGGAGAAAAGTATCCTAGCAGCCTCCTGTGTGGGCTCTAGACCCCCAGGGGCCTACTGGCATTTTGGACACCTCCTAGGCACCTCCTATCCAACCTTGGCCTCAGCATCTCCTCCAAACTGCTCTTCCTCTTGGGTCCCTATCTCAGAGAGGCCCAACTGGCCCCCATTTCCCAGGCTAGAGTGACTTCTCAAAAACCCGAATCTGATTATGAGTGCTGTCATCACTCCCAAACCTTCCCTAGCTCCTCATTGCCCTCTGGATAAAGCCCAAACACCTTAGCCCAGCTCACAAGGCTCAACAGGATCTTCCCCTGGGTGTCTCCAGCCTAATTTCCTGCCACTTCCTGACCTCAGCCACACACCAGCCTCATGAATGACTCATGCTTCCCAAACACTTCCCAGGACATCCCCAACCCATGTTCCTCCCTTGGGTGGCCCAAGGGTGTGTGACTTAGCTCCCCACCTGGACTGCAAGTTCTCTGCTAGCATCTCTCTCATCTGTCTCCCTCACAGCCCAGCTCAGGACCAGACACACTGAGAGTAGAGAGGGGTCAGCACTGTGGGTGGATGGATGACGACAAGGGAGGAAGAATGCAGACAGAGCCTGCAGGTCTGTGGCATTTAGAGGAGCAAGGTCCTCTGGTGGTTCCAGGGCCCCTGGGCAGGGATTGTTGAGGAATTAAGTGTGGGGGTTTGGAGAGCTGACCACTTGGACTTTGGGGAGTGTAGTGGGGGTTCACCTTCGTGCTGTCAGGGCTCAGGTGGGTGTGGGAGTCCTTGAGTCTGGAGATGGCACTATGACACAGGCCCCCTGTGACTGCCATCAGCGTATTGAAATTCTGCAGTTGGTGGAGCCTCTAGGAAGGAAGGTGATGCACAGAGATGGTAGGTGTCATAGGAGGCCAGGTCAGTTGGAAGCTCAGATGAGAGCATCTCAGCTGAGTTGGAGTCTCAGGCATGTGTGGGTGTGGACCAGTACTGGCATCAGACAGGTGAGAAAAGGTGGGTGTGTCAGGCAGGAGTGAATCACAAGCACACAAGCAGGTAAGTAAGCATCACAGAGGTGTCAGTTATCTAAGGGGCGGTCAGGCAGGTGATAGACGGATGGAAGGCTAGAAAAGTGTGGGGAGGCAGGCAAGAATGGAGAATAGACACGTATGTGTCAGACAGGTGTGGGGGGATTCAGACAGATGTCAGGGGGTCTGACATTGGAGGTCAGACTGCTCTGAGAGTCAGGTGAAGGGAGACATGCAGGCGTGGGCTCTGGGCAGGAGTTGGGAACCAGGCAGAGGGGATGGGACCAGAGTGATATGAAAGTGTCCACCGGACATCAGAGGGAATTCCCTCACCCTCCCTTTTTCCAAGTTTGAGGGGCGTTTAGGTCGCTGTGGAGAGAGAATAAGGCCAGTGAGTAGTGGAAGACATTTACACCAAAGAGACCCCAAGCAGACGCTAGAACCCGCAGGCCTAAGGGGCTCTACAGGAAGAAGCAAAGCGATGGAAGACGCCAGAGGAAGGGCGTGGTCTGCGTGGAAACAGGCAAAGGGGTGTGGCCGCGGTAGGGGTCACAGGACTTCCCTTTTCTCCAGAAGAGAGGGAAGGTATCCGGAAGGGAAGGGGGGCTACAGGGGCGTAATACATGGGGCGAGGCCAGGGAGAGAACGGATGTGAAGGGGAGAGATGCAGTCATTGTCCCGAAGGGACCGCTGGGGCTTAGGGACTGGGCATTGGAGCCTCGGTGGAGGATGACGCAAAGGTGGGGGCCTGGAAGGAACGCTTTGCCCTGGGGATAATAGAAAATTCGGGAATAGGGCTTGGGAGACGGGGCCAGGAGGGACTTGTCAAGTGCCACGTCTAGGGCCAAGGGGTGGGGCCAAGGCGGGTCTGACGTGGTGATATGGCCAAGGAAGAAGTACCGTCATGGTCCTGGGTTAGAACTCCCGGACTGAGGCCTTGGGAGCGGGGCCAGGGATGCTCCACGCCACCCCGAGATGGCCTGCTGGGGCCAAGGGACTGGGAGTTTTGGCGGAACTGGAACTCGAGGGTCGGGTGCCTGCGCTTGGTGGCGCTCACAGCCTCGCGGGCGAGTACCCGGGAAGCTAGCGGAACGGCGGGGCGGGCCTCACCTGTGCCACGTGAATAAACTTCTCCAGCACCTGCGCACGCTGTGCGGGCCCAGGACGGCTCAGCACCATCACCTGCACCCAGCGGGACACGCTGTTGCTGAGACCTACGGAACCCTCCAGGGCCGGGCAGCCCCGCACAGAGCCCTGCAAAACGTAGTCCCGCAGATCCTGGGGCTGGGGGCGAGGTGGGCGTCAGGGTGGGCGTGGGTCTCAGGCCCTACCCCTCACACACCATCCCCCTAGGAGTCCGATTTCTGCTGTCCCAGCTTGGTCTAGCCTGAATAAACTTTGTCATCCGTCTCCCCCCAAGTGGCCCATGGTCCTTTCCCATCTGAGAAATGTTTAAATAAAGCCAGGCACTATTCAGAGCACTTTATCGTATTAACTAATTTAATCCTCATAACTCTGTGAGGTGAGTACTATTATTATGCCCATTTTAGAGATGAAGCAATTGAGGCACAGAGGATAAGTAATTTGCCCAGGCTCACAAAGGCATGAGGCAGGGTGGGAACCTAATATATATGCTCTTAACTGTATACCTGACTGATAGACAGTCAGCAAAGGGAAGGATGGGGAATATTATGCCCATTTTAGAGATGAAGCAATTGAGGCACAGAGGATAAGTAATTTGCCCAGGCTAACAAAGGCATGAGGCAGGGTGGGAACCTAATATATATGCTCTTAACTGTATACCTGACTGATAGACAGTCAGCAAAGGGTAGGATGGGGACGATGACTTAAAACCAACTTCTGCTTATTCTGCTCAAAGAGTCTACATTCCATACCCACATCCACTGCACCATATGTATTTGTGTATGTATTGTGTTTTATATATTGTGTTATATACACACACACACACACACAAGGAAATTTTCACATTAAGGAACCAGATCCCCACCTTCCCTTGACGGTGTCAAGATGGCAATAGCTAACATAGGTATGTTGATGCACATGGAATTGACATTTGGGTAGATAAAATATGGCAAGTTCAAGTGGTTCAACAAGACAGCATGTACTGTGGACCGTGCACTGTTTCTATGAGGCAGGAACTGTTAATATCCTCTTTTTACAGATGAGGAAATTGAAGTACAGTAAATTTAAATGCTTGGTGAATAAATGAATAACTGATAAAATATTTTGAGCACTTACTATGTGCCAAGCATTGCAATAAGCATTTTTAAATGGACATATTAATTTAATTCCCTCACTCATGCAATAAAGTATTATGACCTCCGTTTTACAAATGAGTCCCAGAGAGGTGGAGAAACTAGTTCAAAGTTATACAGGTCAGAAGGGGCTGATGGAATTTGAATCCAGGGGCTCTGTGCTCAGCCAGCTCAACTCATTTTCCTAGATCCAAATTTAAGAGTTTGAGATCCCTGCTGGTTGCCCATGCAGGGATCCTCTCAGTCCTACCTGGCCCCAGTCAGGCCCCATCCCACACCAGTCTCTCCCTTGCTCAGGGTCCTCACCGTAATAGCCTGGAAGGACCGGAACTCCAGATAAGTGAGGTGCTGAGCCAGCTCTCCAGTCTCCAGGTGGTCGAAAAGCAAAGACACTTTGCGCTTTTTGCTCAGGCCTGGACTGCTCATGGGGGGCGGGGGTCCAGGGCCACCAGGGCTTAGGCTGGAGGCCAAGAGGGGCAGAGTATTGGAGTGGCTCAGAGTTGAGGGTTTGGGGGTGTGGAGGGAGATGGCAGAATGAGGGTGGGGCAGAGAAAGGGGCATGGGGCTGACTCACAGGTTGGAGGAGTCTCCCAGGCTCCTCTGGGCCGAGCTGCCCTCCTGGGCCACGGTGGCCCAGAAACGACCTATAACTTCTTCTAGCTGGGGCTCCTGGTGCACCGCCTCTGGGTGTTGGGTCAGCCAGTACCTGAGAATGGTTTGGAGATGGTGGAATGAGGCTGGGTTTGGGGTGGGGGTTGGGAAGGTGTCTACAAGGTGTCTCTTGGGCTGAGGAATCTCTAGGTGCTGAGCTGTGGTCTCTAAATGTGTGCAGGGGGTCTCTAGAAGGTGAGGGTTTGGAGAGACACCAGGTTGGGGGGGTCTGTGGAGTAGGACTGGGGGTCTCTTAACACAGGCTGGGGAGGATCTATGGGGGATGGATTGGGGGATCTCTTGGAAGCTGGGCTGTTGGGAAGTAGGATGGGGGGTCTGGTCTCAGGAACTAGGCTGGGGGTTTTGGGGGCAAGATTTTGGGGGTACAGGGTGAGGGGGTCCTAGGAGTTAGGGTGGGATAGTTTGGCAGTTATTCAAAATGTTAAACACAGAGTTCCATATGACGCAGAGATGCTTCTTCTAGGTATATATCTAAGAAAAATGAAACATTTGTCCATAAAAACTTGTAAATGATTATTCATAGCAGCATTATTCATAATAGCCAAAAAGTGCAAACAATTCTAATGTCCACCAACTAATGACTGAGTAAATGATATGTGGGATATAAATTCAATAGAATATACTTAGCAATAAAAAAAAAAGTTAAAGTTCTAAAAAATGCTACAATATGAATCAGCCCTGAAAACATTATACTTGTGAAAAAAAGACCATCACAAAAGACAACAAACATTATATTTGTGAGAACAAAATGCTACACTAATTAATCATGATTCTGAAAGATATTTAACATGTGCATAAAGAAAAGTAATAAGTTTCAAATGGATAAAAACAAAAATCACTCAGTCGTTTTGGGAAAAATATTTCTTTTTTCAAGGTAATACATTTTTATGATAATATAAATATTTTTTAAAAACTGTAAAAAATAATTATTTAGTAATTTTAATCTTTATAAAATTATTTCATATTTTAAAATTTATAACATTAAACAAACATTATTTAATTTTTCATAACGGTTCTTAATATTTGGTTATTTCATTTCATTCAGTCCATGGTTATTGCAAGGGAAAAAAAATACATGGAACAATTTGGTAATTCTTCCCATAATGACAAATTAAAAGCAGAATGTCAACAAAGGCATACAAATTCAGTAGAAGAAAATATTCTAAAGTCATATACAAGATCCCAATAGGTAAAAAAATATATTGTTTGCAGAAACAACAAACGTACAAGAAAAAGACTTGAACATATAACATTTTTATTCTTTTTCATAGAAGTTCAGAATAATACAATTACAAGAATGATTTAAAAGGAAATTTCTCAAAATTTTCTGTCTATAGAAGCTAACATTTTAAGCAAAATTCAGGTCAAATGATTCCTATAGTTTGCCAATCATTTAAAGAATTTCAAGTCAAGGTATTCTTGAGATTTTCTAATGTACAAGTCCTTGGTTTAAAATTCCTTCTGGAAAACATGCCACTGAAAAACATTTTCTTGAATTATAATCCACAGTGCAAAAAAGTCTTCAATGTGCTGTTTTATTAAATGTGCTGTTTGAAAGTGACTGACTATTTAATATTTTAGTATTAGTATATGTATCAGGACATTAGAGCAGTTAAAAAATTTTTTTTTTTTCCTTTTTGTCTTTTTTCGTGTCCGGCAACGGATCGCAACCCTCAGTGTTGCGCCCGGACCGGACCGGCAACGGGATCGCAACCCTCGGTGTTGCTCCCACACCTCGCTCAGCCAGTGAGCGGGAACCGGTCTGTATGTGGGATCCGAACCCTCGGCGGGAGCGCCGCCACGCTCCCAAGCAGCGCACTGTAGCAGTGTGCCACCGGGCCGGCCCTGGACAGACTGTTTCAAACATAGGAGCGCCGCCACGCTCCCAAGCAGCGCACTGTAGCAGTGCGCCACCGGGCCGGCCCTGGACAGACTGTTTCAAACACCAGTTCTACCCTGCATGAGCTTGGGCAAGTAACCTAACGTTGTGCCTCAGTTTCCTTGTCTGTACTGTGCATGGGCCAGCACAATGCCTGGCAAGTCTTGTTGAAGATCAAAATTGCATCAGACCTCCTCCCTCTCCCCAACTCAGGAAAAACGCAGGTGTCTCTCTTATCCTAATGTAGTGATTGAGACTCATTTCACACACTCCTGCTCCCATTTCATACCGCCCAAAACTGAAGCCTAGCCAGAGCTGGGTGCTTGGCCTTCTGTTAGGATTGGGGAGGCTGGCCGGGTAGGGGGACACTCACCAAAGGACTGGATGCATTTCTCCAGTAGTTCATCTTCACTGCAGCCACCTTCACTCAGCACGCCCAGATTCATGGAAGCCATGACCTTGCTGATTTCCCGGGGGCTGGGACACGTCTTGTGGCGGCGGGCCTGTCGGGGCCGGCCCCGCCCTCCTGTTTTCCCAGTGCATTCTTGATGGGACTTCCTGTGGGCACCCCCCAAGGGAATCATGGGAGCTCCTTCCTTCAGGAGACTCGCAGAATTCCTCTGACCCCCAGTGCCCAGTGCGCCATGGGAGAAGTTTCCTAAAGGCAAAGCCCCAGGGTTACTCCTGACCTACGATGAATTCAAGGGAGAAACCACCAGAAATATTCCAGATTCTCCAGGGAATCATGGGAGAAGACCCCCAAGACAGTAAGGACCCCCCTGGAAATCATAAGAACTCCCTTCTCCTGGCATTGTCCCCAAATTCCTCTTGACTATAGGGTCCCAAGACATCATGGAAGAGATTTCCTGTTGGCAGACCCTTGGGATTACTCCTGACTTCCCAGGGAATCATGGGAGAAGACCCCTAGGATCACTCCTGACCTCCCCAAGGGGAATCATGGAAGATTCTGCCCTCAGGCCCACTCCTCAGAATTCCCCTTTGGTCTCCAACACATGCCTTTCCTCCCCCCAGCCCTCATAAGAGCAGGCAGACCCCTGGCATTCCATTTCTCCTCTTCTCCCCTACCTTCACCCCTACTAAGGTTACCGAACCCTCCCCCAAGCCAGCCCTGGAGTCTTAGCCTCTAGCCTGGGTCCCTAGATTTGGTGACTGGAGGGAAAATACCAGTGCGAAGTGACCTCTCCAGGGCTCTTCAGAGCTAGGCAGAGGTCCCTGGGGCTAAGGTGGATTCAAGGAAAGTTTAAAAATAACCCTCAATCTGTCTTGTGCCTCCCAGAGGCTCCTATTCCAGTTGGGGAAAGAGGGTAATGGAGAGACAGGGATGGTGGGAGGAGAGAGGGAGCAGAATCCAGGTTCCAGTGTCAGACAAAATAGGTTCAAGAAATTTCTGCTAGCTATGTGACTTTGTCAGTCACTTAATTTCTCTGGGCCTCAGTTTCCTCATATGGAAAATGAGGGTCATTCTTGGACCTGCCCCAGGAATTTATTATAAACATTCAATGCCTAGCTCCTCAAAGGTGCTAAGTAATGGACTTAGTATGCCCAGGCTGTTAAGTGACCAGAGGTGGGAAAGTCGAACTTGAGGTGCAGAGGAAGAAAGTGATCAGGCAGAGAAGGTAGGCCTGCAGCATGAGGGTGAAACCAGAAACATGGAGACCAATAACAAAGGCACTGCCATGTCCCCTGGCACATTTTAAGGGCTCAACAAACTGGTATTGAATGTTGTTGAAAAACAGCAGGCATTAATTCAGTGCTGAATATGTACCAGGCTGAGGGAGGGCTGAGCACTCTGTCTGGATCAGGGGTCCTCAAAGCAGAGTCCCCAACCAGTACTAATAGCATCACCAGGGAACTTGAAAAAAATACAAACTCTCAAGCGCCACCCCAGACCTACAGAATCAAAAACCTTAGGGGTGAGCCCAGCAACCTGCACTTTACAAGCCCTTCAGTGATCCTGATTATGGCCAAGTTTGAGAACCACTGGTCTAGATGGTCTCACTGAGGACTTACAGGCCCCTCCATGGTAGGGTCTACGATTATTCTACTGGCAGAAGAAGAAACAGCAGTTGAGTGACTTACCTAAGGTCCCAGCCAGGAAATAAGACAGCCAGGACTCCACCACTAAACTGCTGAGTATGATGGGGAGGGGATCCCTTTGCCCATCACAGTCATGCTGAGGGAGGTTGGAGGAGCTACCCAGGCTGGGGACCCAGCCACCACTCACTCTGTGGGAACAGGAGGGTAAGCTTGCCCACGAGATAGAAGCCCACTCTAGAACCAACTGGCATAGCTAGCCATAGGCTGCTTCCCACCCACCTGTGGACTGGCAGCCCCCAGTAGTGTCTGGAGCTGGCAGCAGTGGTTTAAGAGGCAGCGGAACCAGCTTGCTCTATATCACACTCCCCTCTCCTGGGGCAGGGCCCTTCAGGAGCCTGGAGTTTCTAGTCCAGGAGTCAGCGACTGTGATGGGGAACCAAGAAGACCCCAGGAAGGACAGAGACACCCAGTAGAAGGAGTTAGGGTGGGGGGGGGCAAGTAGGGAGAAGGGGACGCAGAGCGCTCTAACTCCAGAGAGAGAGGACAAGGCACAGATCCTCATATACAAGCAGCCCCAGTTCTGGCAGGCTCTGGACTCCCTGAAGCATCTCTTCACCTGGCAGCTCCTGTGCCTGATCTTAGAGGAGCCGGGCATGCTGCCCCCTCGTTTGTACCTCCCCAGTCTTCCCACACAACAGGAGGCCCAGGAGCTTGGGGCACTCTGGTCTCCTTGGGGAGGGTCCTCTCACCTCTTGCTGTCTTTCCTGTTCATCTTCCTGGGGGCAGGGGGGGAGCAGAACGGGTCTTGCAAGTGTGGCTCTGTTCCTCCCCCCTCTCCAATGCTCTGGCTACTTCTCAGCCCCTTTGGAGCAGGGGCCTCCTCAGTGCTTGGGAAGGAAAGAGGAACTGCCCCTCCCCACCCACCCCCAGGCCAGGGGGAAGGAAGAGGCTGGGGAGAGACCAAAGGTCCCCCTCCCCCACACGGGGATCCCTTCAGGCTGAGGTTTCCGGTGCTGCTGGCCCCCACCCCCAAGGGCCCAGCACGCCCTCTCTCTATCTCCCCCATCTTTCTGTCTCTAGACCCTTCACTGTCATACTTCATTAAAAGCAGGGGGGGGTTTTCTTATCTTTTTTTTTAAGTATGACTAATATTTCTGTAAAAACACACATACTTAAAAATCTATATTTCTATAAGGACATATTCATGTATATAATGCACAAAGGTTTGAATGGAAACTAAGTCATAATATTTTGTGTATTTCTTCTTATGTTTCTTCTATTCCTGGTTTAGTTTTAATGACATCATTTGTACGCTGGAAAATATTTTCACTTTATTATTTTTATTGAAACAAACCCTTATGTAACACCTACTGTGTACCATACACTGCTCTAAGGGCTTTTAAAATATTAACCCGTTGGGGCCGGCCCGTGGCTCACTCGGGAGAGTGCGGTGCTGATAACACCAAGGCCACGGGTTCGGATCCCATATAGGGATGGCCGGTTCGCTCACTGGCTGAGCGTGGTGCTGACAACACCAAGTTAAAGGTTAAGATCCCCTTACCGGTCATCTTTAAAAAAAAAAAAAAAATTAACCCGTTTAATCCTCACACAACCCACTGTTATCTTATTATAAAAACATTACAGATGGAGGTTAACACTCTGGAGCCCCCTCCCCATCCACTGTCCCTCTTAGGCAGTGGTGACCAATATACATGTGGTAGGGTTTCATCCAAACTGTTGTCTGTGTATTTATGGGGGGTTTCTCATTTTTTTCTGTGTGTTTATGTACATAAGTGTGTGATCATAGAAACAGACTTTTGAGTATGTGTGTTTTTTTCTTTTACCTAAATGTGTCATGCTTGGCATATTTTTTAATTGGAGTACAAAAAAGAGCACAAATCATTAAATATTTAGGTTGATGAATTGTCACCAACCGAGCAAAGCCATGTGATATTCACATAAATCAAGACACAGAACAGTCTCATCCTCTTTAAGCTCCTGTGCCACTCCCCACACGTCTCCCACAAGTTATCACTAGCCCAACATCTAACAGAGTAGTTTTGTCTCGTTTTGAGCAGTATGTGAATGGATTCATCTATTGTGACTGGCTTCTTTCATTTACCATCATGTCTTCGCAGTTCTTCTGTTACTATATTTGGTTATAATTTATACTTGTTTGTTGCTGTGCAGTCTTTCATTGTGTGACGATTCCATGATTTATTGATCAATTTTCCCGTGATGAACATTTGAGTTGTTTCCAGTTTGGGGCTGTTGTAAATAATGCTGCTGTGAATATTTGAACACCTGGCTTTTGGTAAACATATATTGTACAATTTTGTAGGATAGTACTCAGGAGCTCAGGAGTAGAATCAATGGGTCATAGTAGTATGATTCTGCCAAACCTAACATGTTAGGAATTCAACTAAACAGCTCTCTCAGAAGTATATTTTTCATGTTTCTTTTCTTTTTTTCTTCTAAAATAGGTCACCATGGATTTTTTTTTTTTTTTTTCATGCAAGAACATTTATTTACTTACTTATTTTGCAACTGGCTGGTATGGGGATTCGGACCTATGACCTTCGTGTTATAAGGCTGCTCTAACTAACTGAGCTGACAGGCCTGCCCACACCAGGGCATTTAGACAAGTGTGGAGTCCATTGTCTTTAGTTTTTCCATCACATGACCTACCATAGTTTCAGACCCTCTCTCTTCTCTCCCTTCTCTCTTTCCCTTCTCTCTCCATCCCTCTTCCCTTTGGTCTCCATGGGCTGTTTGTCTTTCAGCCCATCTCCAGCAGCACCTGCCTCTTGCAGATGTGATGTAACAGGTCCTGGCTGAGCTGAGCTTGTAGTGTGGGAGTGTCTCCAGGTTCTGGGGAGGTCGAAAAAGGCCCTGGCACTTGTATATACTCAAATGGCCTCCACGGCCCTGGAGATGGTTAATACCAACAGTAATAACATGGATAAACACAAAGGAAAAGACTTCTGAATTGAACCACAAAAACTAATATGGCATTGGCTAGAGCACAGCCTTGAAATACCAAAGTCAAGGGTTCAGATCCCATACCAGCCAGCTGCCAAAAAAAGACATAAAACAAAACTAATATGGCAGAAAAATGATGCACCTGATAACATGCAAACATGGATTTTCTTTTAATGAAGACACCATGGGACAAATATCAGGTGACAGAAGGGGAAAAGGTATTTGCAATATTTAAAATCGACAAGAAATTAAACCTAGAATGTAAAAGGCACAACTGAAAATCACAAGAAAAAAAGACAGCAACTCTGATAGAAAAGTGGACAGAGTATGAGTAGGTAACAAGGAAACCCAACACTCTGACAGGTGCCTGAGAAGATGCCAGAAGTTATTGGCACCTGATCATGGAAGTGCAAATTAAGATGACAGTGAGTCATCCCATAGGTCTGGCAAAAATTAGAAGCTGAAGTGACAAATGGCAATTGGAGATGTA